ACCCCTCCTCGGAAAATACTTCTGTTAGGTCGATAATGGCGTCAGACGACTCAACTCTTGCCCACTTCCCGGTCCTTTGCGATGTCAGGGAGTGACTTCCTTGGGGTGACGATGAGGACCCTCTCCCCCTTTGTCGGTGACAGCCTGCTGCACCACCTGGGCAGACCTTCCCTTCCCGATCTTGGCCACAACCCTAGAGGCCACCAATTTCCTCACGCGCTCCTCGATGAACGACATGCTTCCTGCAAAAACAAAACAAAATAGGATTAACAAGCAAGCAAATGGGGAACAAAACAATCAGTATTTTATCGCCCATCATCTAGGAAACGAAGAGCTTCCTCATCGAACGAGCACTCGAGCAGAGCCTTCATATTTATCAATCTCCTTTGCTGGCAAACATTCCCTTGGCTGTCACAAATAAAATTACCGTCGGGCGTCACCAGCTTAGCCGGGGAGAAGTCGGCCATAGAGGACACAATCCTTTGGTAGCCCGCCAGGTCGTCCTCGTCCATGGTCCCTGCCCGAATGATGTAATAATATGTGCCCTTGTTGAAGTGTCCCCCCGTCCACTCCAAAGGTACCCTCGGCACCATAACATATTACTGCTGCCCGTTCACCTCGCGGGCTTCTCGTCGATATAGAGAGATGCATGCCTCGTAAGAAACGGGTCGGACCATGAAGAAACGCGCCTTGAAGTCCCGAATGGAATCCATGTATGCCCAGAAGAGTCTCCTCGGCTACTTCAGTGAGACCCACCCTTGTCGCCCATCGACCGTTTGCCTCTGCAAGGGGAAAAGGCGAAAGAAGAGCGATAAAGTGGCCCCGATCTCCAGATACCGGCAGACGAGCTCGTACGCCCGGATGAAAGTTATGGCATTAGGATGCAGCTGCGAGGGACCAACTTCATCCAATCAAAGATGCCCAGATGAAAGTCTGTAAATAGTAGCATAAGACCGGCCTCCCGAAAGCAAAACTCGTACATCGAGAACCTAATCTTCTTGTATGTCGATCATATTTGATGGTGCTCCTGTGGTCAGTATACTTACCAACTAATGGGAGAGTCCATGCACCGGTCCTTGACAGTCGCGTAGGCACCCGTGTCATCTTCGACAAAATAGGAAGGCATGCTTAGTGGTTCGTCAGCTACCCAGTCCTCGACCGACCGAGTTCGCACCTCAACAACTAGAGCCTCTGGCTCCACGTCGACATCCATGGTCCCCGGCACCCACGAGATCATATTCACCTAAAAAGAAGAAGGAAATGGTGAATTTAACGTTTAAGATCAAATTCATCCTTCCACTGCGGGTCAAGTGAAAGGGCGATGGAGACGGCGACCACATTCGGAGGCAGCTCGCGCTCATGCGACGTCCATTTTCGCCTGGGCATCCCTCCTCTGGACGATCATCCAATCCCCTTCAACATCCTCGGGGTATGCATCTAACCCCATCATATGTCCCCTGGATATTCATTTAAAACTAAGATATGTCCTCGGGGTCCTCATTCTCAACATGTCGATCGTCCCCGGGACATTCATACTACAGCCCCAAGGCTCCTGTTTTAGGCTGGGCCCAGGCTTTCTCATTCGTCGAGTAGGCTCTGCCCAACGTTATTTGGGGAAGGCCCAAATCACCCAATGTCGGGCACACTTATATACACATCAGGCAGACACTACCTCTGTCGGGCAGAACCACAAGTCTTCCACACGTTCTCCACGTGCCCCCTCCGCGGGGACACGTTATCAGTCAACTACCCACCTCCGAAAGAGCTGGTCAGCCCATTTTCTAGAGATCATGGGACGGTTGAATTAGGTTAAAGACCATGTGCTGGTCTTTACTACGCAACGTAAGCCCTAGCAGTCACCTGGGTTGGGCCTGGCAATTCATCCCAACACAAGTGACCGTTGGCCTTGCGCTAGGGTCTCTCTATAAATACTCTCTTTCACTAGAGGGTCAGGTATTCACTTCTTAACCTCTTCTCTATATTTGCTCTCACTCTGATCCATTACTTACTTTGGCATCAAAGTGTCTTGCAGGTACACCCCTTCTCCTTCCTACTTCTGGTGGACAACTCTCAGATTGACGATGCGTGGCAGGTCACTGACTCCCTTTTGATCAGGTCAGATCACTTCCTAATGCTAAGATGCACAACTAGACTTTAAAGATATCATATAATATACATATATGATAAAGTATCCTAGTTTTGACATCATACAAAATACATCTAACGAGAAATTGCACTCACAGGTCTGTCCCAACTTCATATGGGGTCTTAGGCGTTCGTGAGGGTTTTTCAGCTGTGTGTCAAACATAAATCTTGGAAACCCTCTCTTTGATTATTCCTGGACCTGTTCCATCTAAGACGTACCTCTCAAGATAATTTTTAGTAATTAGAGACTCATTAACTTCCACTCGGTGAATCCTTGGTTCGACCCTTTTAGTTTGGATTATGGAGACTTCCTAAGATGTTTTTTGCTGGTAAAACCCCCATACCTACGACTCATCTTATTTTTTGCTACCTCTTTGATTTTTCCAAATTGTATACCTAAAGTACTGTCTAAAATTCACTTTAACTGAGATGATATTTCCTATTGTACCAAGAAACGATATTTACACCTGTTACAAACAATAAAGTTCAAACAATGTTAGATACCATAATATGCCACTAGTCTCCCTCAAACACTCAATCTTTAGAGATGAAGATCCATAGTAATGGATAAGGACTAAGGTTGAACATAATGAACAGTGCAAAAATAATTTCACTCACACAGGGCTGAATCTAGTATGGCATGAGGGGTGCACTTGCTCACCCTGAAATTTTAAATTTATACTAGTTCCTAAAATTTTTATATTTTGACCACCCTGATTTTTTATTTTTGCACCTTAGACTCAACACTCTAAAATCCTATAATTACTCTAAATTTAATTTTTCACTTCTCTATCTACTTCTCTCACTAACTCTAGTTTCTCTCATCTTTTTCATTTGCGGTTCCAAATCTGAATTCCTTTTTTACCACCATCACTGCATGCGATGGAGGAACGACCATACCACCATCAATTTAATCTTTTCCTTTCATTCTCACGTATTCTTCTCCTTCTGCAACAGTGTACCAAATTTGTTCATGCTCTCACTTGCAATTTTTTTTATCGATTTCGGATGTGCTCTTGTGTTCTTCTCTGAGCTATTATGTCAAATCGGAGTTAATTTAGAAGCATTTATCTTCAACGTTGAAGTTATTGAGGTAAGATATGTATGATTTTAGGGTTTTGTTAATTTAGGGTTTTTTAAATTAGAAATTAGGATTTGATAATTTTGTTGATAAATTAGAACTTTGTTCATTTTAAAATCAGAAGAAATTAACAATGTTGTTTGGTTGAGTGTTTGTTGTTATGTATGCCCCTCTATTGATGTCTGCTCTGAGTTGTTACAGGAGGCATTTAGTGGCGGACTGGTGGTCGGTTGATGCCTAAGTAATAAGTTCAATATTTATCTAAGCATCGGTGTCGCATTCTTTTCAACCTAGTTGTATATTTTTTATGCTCAAATATTTTCTTTTGTTGTGTTTAGTTCATATTGTGGAACTGTGAATCTAAGACTTGTACTTTGTATTATTTTGATTTAGCCATTTCTTATACGCAATTTTAATCTAATAAAATTTTTTCCTTACAAAAAAAAATATTAAAAAAAATATATGAATGAATAATATATATATTTATATATAATATATATAGGCATAACAATATTGAACAGATTGCAGAAGCTACCTATAAGGGAATGTAGTTTCTCTCTCTTTTTTTATTTATTTTTTATATCAAAGAAAATAATATACATGTTTATGAGTGAAAAAATTTAATATTGGTTTGTATATGCTATGTTGTAACAATTTTGAGCATTCCTAATTTAGCAGTAAATTTTCTTTCATTTTCTAAGTTGTTTCCGGTTTTAGTTTTTAGTATTTTAATTCGACGCATTTTATTAAATATATATCATAAAAATATGAATCAACTATGAGTTTTTATATTGAACTAGTTTGCAAAAATATATAAAGACACTATTAAGTTTATTGTTTATATCTTTTATAGATACTTAACTTACATTTTTTTTATTGTTAATATTTTTTTGTTTTGTTTTGTTATAGGAGATTATGGAGAACTTTTTTAAGAGAAAATTACCATCAAATGAGAAAAATTCTAGTTCTCAACAACATTTTCAATTTAATTTAGAAGATTTACAATGAGATCCTGGAAAGCGGCTTAAAATATCAGCATATCATCCTAATGATCAAGAGATAATTCGCAGAACATATATACAAAAAGGGTCGTGCCAACCTACTCAACATAATTTTCCCCAAAGAAGAATTGGAAACTCATTGAGAAGATTTTGTTCTTCATGGTTTAATGAATTTGGAAATTGGTTAGAGTATAGTATAGAAAATGATGCATCATTTTGTTTATGTTGTTGTCTTTTTCGACCCGATTTTGGAAAACAATCTGGTGGTGATACATTTGTAACAGAGGGATTCACTAATTGGAATAAGAAAGATAGACTATCATCACATGTTGGAGGTCCAATTAGTAATCATAATATTGCTTGGAAGAAATGTTAAGATTTGATGAATCAAAATCAACATATTAAATTTGTGATAAGTAAACAATCTGAAAGCGTTCATGACCTATATAGAAGGTGGTTAACATCTTCCATCGATTGTATTCGTTATCTATTAAAGCAGGGATTGACTTTTCGTGGTCATAATGAATCAATAGAATCAGGGAATCAAGGTAACTTTCTAGAAATGCTTAGATGGTATGCTAAGAGGGAAAAATTAAGACAAGTTGTATTGGAAAATGCCCCTGAAAATCAAAAAAATGATTTCTCCATCAATTTAAAAGGATATTATTAAGGCAACCTCTTTAGAAACCACTAAAGTTATCTTGCCTGATCTTGGAGATGAATTATTTTCCATTCTTGTTGATGAATCTCGTGACATATCTAATAAGGAACAAATGGTTGTTGCTTTGCATTACGTCAACAAAAATGGAATTATTATTGAGAGTTTTTTGGGAATTGTTCATGTTAAAAGTACAACAACAATAGCTTTGAAAGTAGTTGTTGAAGAGTTGTTTTGCAAACATGGTCTTAGTACTTTAAGAATTCGTGGACAAGGTTATGATGATGCTAGTAACATGAAAGGAGAATTTGGTGGTCTAAAAAGTTTGATCTTAAGTGAAAATTCATCCACATATTATGTACATTATTTTGCTCATCAATTGCAACTTACATTAGTTGCTATTGCCAAAGATCACCTTCAAGTTTGTGGTGTTTTTAACTTAGTGTCCACTTTAATAAATGTTATTGGGGGATCATGCAAATGACAAGACATGCTTCGTGAAAGACAAATAAAGAATATTAGGGAAGAAATGGGAAAATGAGAAATTGCTAGTGGGCAAGGTCTGAATCAAGAAACTAATCTCAAACGAGCTGCTGATACTCGATGGAGTTCTCATTTTACTACTTTGATCAATTTTATATTGATGTATGATTCTGTAATGGATGTTCTTGACATTTTGAAAAAAGATTCAACATTGCTAAGAGAACAAAAGGCTGAAGCAAGTGGTCTAATACTTTTGATGAATAATTTTGATTTTGCACTAACATTATATTTTATGAAAAATATCTTGGGTATTTCAAATGAATTGTCACAGGCTTTGCAAAGAAAAGATCAATATATCGTCAATGCTATGAAATTGTTTAACATCACAAAGCAATGATTACAAGCTTTAAGAGATGATGAATGTGAATCTTTGTTGGATGAGGTAAATTTATTTTGCAATGTGCATGACATTCACATTCCAAACATGGATGATACATACTTTTCGAGAAGATCAAGGTGTGGAAGTAATGTCGAGTCTATCACAATAAAGAAACATTATCACATTGATTTATTTTATATTGTCGTGGATATGAAACTTAAAGAAATTAACAATCATTTTAATGAGACAAATAGTAGGTTGCTCATTTGCATGTCTTGTTTTAATCCAACAAATTTGTTCTCTTCTTTTGACAAGGAAAAATTGGTTAAATTTGGAAAGTTTTATCCATGGGAATTTTATCAAACTAGTTTGTTGTTGCTTGATAACCAACTTGAGACTTATATACCTGACATGCGTAGCAGTATTGAATTTGCATCCTTGAACGGAATTGGAGATCTTTCAAAAAAGTTGGTTGAAACTAGAAGACATGTTGTTTATCTATTGGTTCATCAACTTTTGAAGTTAGCAGTGATTTTTCCTGTTTCCACAGCAACCATTAAACAATCCTTTTCTGCTATGAAGATTGTGAAAACTAGATTGCGCAATCGAATGGGGGATGAATGGATGAACGGTTGCTTGGTGACTTATATTGAAAGTGATGTGTTGAAGTACATTGATAATGAGCAGATTATTCAACGATTTCAAAATATGAAATCACGTAAAGGACAATTATAGAACATGTATGTAATTTTTTGAATACGTTATAATTTGAGTACTATTTTTTTGTTGAGTACTTAATTTTTATAGATATAATTATAATATCTTATTAGTATGAAATGTTTTGCACCCCCTGAGCCAGGGTCTTGGATCTTCCACTGCTCTCTCTCTCTCTCTCTCACTCACACACACACACACACACACACACACACACACGTGAAAATTCACAAGATAACAACAATGAATTTATATGTTTGTGAAAGAAGAACATACACAAAGGTTTTCTCAAGTTTCTAGGTAAAGTGGGTTTTGGATCTTGATGGTTATCACAAGCTTGATCAATAATTAATCATTACAAGATTGATCAACTCACTTTCTCTGGTTTCTCTCTACAACAAAATTACACACACAATTTAATGAAAAGAGAGATGTGATTTTACATGAATTACACTCAAGAAGTTATTCATCAAAACAAGTGAAAGATTAAAAGTTGCTAGGAATATACACATTAGAGGAGCAAAGAGAAATTGCCATTTTTGTCTAAGAGTTTCATCAAATCTTTCATCATGAAAAATATTCACAATGAGAAACTCTAATCGCAACAATGTATTTGGATCAAAGAAACAACTATTTAAATTTAAGGTGAAAATTTGGATTTTTGAACATGTGATTCAAATCAAGTGCAAGCCATGATTTGAGTCATATTGTGTTGTGATTCAAGTCACATTTAATGTATGATTCAAATCAAATATGGAAGATCCAAAATCTTGCTTTCAAAGAAAATTGTGATTTGAGTCAAGTTCATTTTATGATTCGAATCAAGTCACGCATAGATGAAATCCAATTTTTCACAACTTGCATGATTTGAGTCATACAATGTACATGATTCAAATCAAACAACTTATTACATTGGTTCAAGTGTTCTAACTTGTGATTAAAGCAACAATTTATTAAATCATAAAAACCAAATTGCTAAGCTCAAAAGGATCATGGACCAACATTCTAATTTACTAAATAATAAAGGGACTTAAGGTACAATGCCAAATAGCTTATGCGAACAAATGAAACTCAATTGCGAATGAAATACAAACACGCAAATAATTGAATATTGAACAAATTACAAATACGCGAGTAATCAAATGAAAACATACATGCAAATTGATTAAAACATCAGAGTTAAATTAGTGACACTGTACGATAATGTGATTGTAATTTCAAGCCTTATAAGGCTTGAGTATGACATACGATGAACTTTTAAGCCTATACTGACCTTAAAGCTTATTTAAAAGACAATTTCACATTACGACTTTCAAAAATGTCCATTTTATCTATTTTTAAAAAGACTACATGACATTATATATATATATATATATATATATATATATATATATATATATATATATATATATATATATATATATATATATATATATATATATATATATATATATATATATATATATATATATATATATATATATATATATATATATATATATATATATATATATATATATATATATATATATATATATATATATATATATATATATATATATATATATATATATATATATATATATATATATATATATATATATATATAGCTTATTTTCTAATAAATATGCATATATAGATCACTTTGACATGCTTCATAGGCTTTTCTAATAGCCTATAATATGATTTATTCAATTAAATAGGATTTTTAAAATGCCTAAGCATAGTCTTTTTATTAAACAAGTCAAGTCATTTCAAACTTAAATAGGTTAGGTTACAGGTCCATGTAAGTCAACCTGGCCTATACTCATCCGTAGCGGGGAACATGGGTTATTAGGATATTCATGTTTAGGTACGGGGATGTGAAAACCGTCTCCTACCCGCCTCATTTATGTTCCTATTAATTTTTATGACAAGTATATTAAATATAATTTTTATAAAGATATATGCATTTTCATTCAATATTTTCACTTGCAAACACAATTCTATTATATTTCAACATCAAAAAGTGCAAAATCGTCTAAATCTACGGGATAATGTACATGTATATCATTGAATAACATTTAGATAATCTAGTTTTTCTTTTTGTAATATGAATGCATATTTTGAATATTGAAATCTGGGTGCTTAAAGGATTATTCAAAAAATTAAAATCCAAATCCATTAGATATTGATTAAAATTATCTTATTTTTTATTGGTTGTAATTATGGTGTACCCTATTATTGTTATCAAAGCCAATACATCTAAGGATAGTGATCCAAAACTACTCTAAAAAGTTGTTGCCCATGTTGATTTGAAAAATAAATTAACAATAAACATGAGTTTACTTTATGTGAACACTTGCAAACTCAATATTTTTTTTTTGCTTAAATAGTCTTTTTCATCCATGTAAATTGGTGTGTTTTTTATTCTAGTTCCTAAATCTTTTTTTATGAGATCCTTAAATGTTGAGTTTCATTTGGTTTTAGTCCCTAACATTAACAACCCGTTACAAAAAAGAGGAGGTGACAAATGTCCAATGACGTGGCATCAATGGCATGACATGTGAGGACGAAATCCTAAAAGAAAAACTAACTTTACGAAACATTTTCTTCTTCCTTAATTCATCTCCAACTTCTATTTTTTTCTCACCTTTGAATTCCATCTCCAACCTCCATTTTTTTACATTCACCTTCATTTTATGTTCTGGAAACTCCATTTCAAAAAGCAACTACCTTTCCCTATATTCCCTATCTCATTCTTCAAAGAATGCTTATGTTTCTCTTTTCACCAGCCCCATCATCTATGAAGATCCATAAACAAACTTAGATCTTATATGTCAATTCTTGATCAAAATCATTTTAAAGACCATAATATTGTTCAATGAAAATTTTCAAAGAAAATTTATGGGCTTGAAAAAGTTAGAAGTTTGTATGAAGGTTTGAGATGGAGATATGAACACATACCCATAATTCTGGCTTAAATAATCTTTTCATCCCTGTAAGTTGGTGTGTTTTTTGTTTTAATCCCTAATTTTGGAATTTTGTTACTGCATTTTATTTTCTATCACCGCGTCCACCATTTCTAATCTTTCCAACCATACTTGTAACTCTTTATCTGGATCAACTATTCTTGAATCTATAAAGAATTATCTTTTCATCTAGTTGATCAGCTGGTAGCGTGACTTGTAATCTTCCTCAAAAGCATCTGAAATAAGGGGTAATTAGTACATCATTGACTAAATAGATAGTTCAACAAACAATTAAACATCAATCACATGTATCAACATATGAATTTATAAGCTCATAATATCATGGTAATCATCACATTTTTCTAAATACTCAAAAGTTTACAAGCACAAAGAAATAAATCATATAATCCATTGCATGCATAACAAGCATCTTAAAACACATAGGAAACTAAAATCATTCATTCTATATAAATTCAACTCATTAGAGCCGAGAATTACAACAAAAGAATCATAATCAATGGGGCAATGTTAATTTTTTTTCATCATAGAAAGTGTTCACTTGGATTTATAATAAAGGTTTAAAATAAATGGTGCAGCTCCAAAGCTCTCGACTAACATTAGAAATTGAAGTAACTAGGAAGGAAGTAAAGTTGGTAAAGTCACAAATCTAATAATAGGCAAGCACTTTTACCATTGAATAATATAAACTAACCATGAATCCAACTATTGGTAGATCCAACATGAAAAATTCCACACACAAATTTTCTTTAACACCTTCACAACAACATATCACTCATTAATTCATAGGTAAAACAGAGAAAAGAGACTTAGAAGAGGAGACATATATTTTAGGGTTTGGATATGAAGATTAAAGTGAGAATGCAATTGAGATAAATGCTTGGACCGATTGAGAATAATGAACAATATTTTGCATGATAAAATGGAGGTTGAAGATGAGAAAAAAATGGAGGGTTTTATGTGAAGCTTTTTTGAATTTTTATATGGATATAAGCATGGTGGGTGTAATACCCCAAATTTTGCCCTAAGATTTGTCGTCTCATGTCGCATCCCATTGCATGTAAGCATGGCGTTTAACTAATCGCTAACGGATTGTGCAGTTGTCTGGTTTTTGCAGGTAAATATCATTTGGCACGTTTTTAGCTCATAACGGGTAAATGATCATCTGCTCGCAACTGGCCGTCAAATTTTGAATTTTGAGTTGTTGTCAGGGAATCTGAGCCGCTGGATTGTTGACGTGAGTCGGGGCCGAGGTGTAGCTGGAACTGTTCGATTGAGAAAGATTTGAGCTGTTCGAAAATAAATCGATTTAGGCTAAGTGGATTGAAAGTAGCCGAAAAGTGGGACCACTCGAATCTAATCAGACAATCGGGATTTATTCGGATAAAACTGTTTATGTGAGGTTGCCGGAGGATGTAATCGGAACTCTTGCCTGAATTAATCGGCTAAATCGAAATAACTAGGAATTAATAGGAAAAATGGTTTTTCATTTCATTTCTCATTTCTATTTTAAATTAATTTCATCAATCACGCGTGTTTTTTTATTCAGCACATGACATTTTCTTAAATTAACTTCATTGCATTTTAAAATCAATCATAGTTCATCTTTTTTTAATTCCACCGATTTTTTAGTCAATCATATGACATTCTTAAAATTAATCTCGTTTTAAATTAATTTTTGTTTTTATTATTAATTTCTATTTCATTTTTATGCTCTTAATTTAATTTCATTTCTATTTATTTAATTTCATTCATGTCATGCTAAGTTTTGTTTTTCTTTTGTTTTATTATTTGTTTGCATATCAAGGAAAATATGAAAAATAATAACAATATTAAAAAAGGGGTAATAAATTTTTTTATTAATAATAATATGTTTTTTACAAGGAAAATAAAAATATAAAATTACATAAAAAAATACAATTCCTAAGTCCTTTCCGAATTTCCGACTTCTTCTGACGTTCTTCCGAATATCCATTTCCGAACCTGCAAAATTAACAAGCAAACAAAGAAAATTTTATCGGTTAGTTCTGACATCCTCAGAGATATAATCAT